AAAGTACCCCGGCCGATCCCCGGCTGACCCCCGGGCGATCCCCAGGGGGGGGCTATTTTTCGCTACCCCTCACGAGGATCGTGGCCTCCGAAGGGGGGGCTGCCAACAACTACGCCCCTCCCGCCCCGAGGGGCCCCCAAGAGCCCCCCAAGAGGCCCCAGGGGAGCCCAATACGCCGCCAAGGAGCCCCAAGACGCTCCCAAGAAGCCCCCAAAACGGCCCCAAGAGGCCCCAAATAGCGCTCCAGGGACAGCGGAATGAGCGAAGCGATCAAATAAATTGTCAGGAAATATCAGGCGGGAACCGCGATTCGGTGGTAAGTTGCGAGGAAATTCCAAACGAGAGCGCGATGCTTCAACCATATGGAAGTATCAAACGGGAGCCGCGATCCGGTGGTAAATTGCAAGGAAGTCCCAAGCGAAAGGGCGATTCTTCAATAAATTGTGAGGAAGTATCAGGCGAGAGCCGTTGTTGTTGTTGTTGTTGTGAACTGGGCGCCAACGACACAGTTTGACCCTCAAGACTTTCCCTGATAAAAAACAAGGTGCGAGCCCCGGGAAGGGCACTTCAATTGAACAGAAAACAATGTGCACCGGACGGGGGGGATCAACAATACTTATTCTTCAAAAATCAGAGTTTAACAACAACAACAACAACAACAATTACAACAACAACAACAACAACAACAACAACAACAACAACAACAACAACAACAACAATTACTAGCACGTGGGGACACTCCGTTCTCACCAGTGCCAGGGTTTTCATAGGAGGCGGGCAATACCCCCACTTTGTGGGGGGGCCGGTTCAAGTTTCCAAACGACTCTTCGCCACCACCCACACCCAGCTTCCCGCCCTATGACGTTCGGACACTTCACTTCGTGGCATGCGGACGACCGTGGCTACTATTCAGGGCCCCGCGGCCGACGACGACGGCGTGCGCGCGCGAAGAAAAAACGAATGTGTCCCGCATGGTATTATTTGACAGGGATGATGGCCCTGGCAGGTGCGCAACCGTTGTCGCAGAAGTTCGAAAAAGTTGCTCGCAAAAGCCCGTTTGACAGAAATGTTTAAAAAGTGTTGGGTTTCCTACGAATCCGCAAGAGCGCGCGGGATGAGATTTTGACATTTTTTTGTTGAAAAACCATTGGTTTTTTGATGTTTTTATGTTAAAATCGCTCCGAACACTAAGCTTTTGGAAGGATTTCGTCTTGCGCGCGCGAATGTCCACTTTACCTTATTTTTTGCAAGGGATTCTTGAAATTTGATTATATTAGAACAAGAAATGTCATTTTATAGTGTTTTTTGCAAGGGAAAACGGATTACAACAAAACAACCGGATCTGATCACATCGTTTTACCTGAGGCTTCCTCACGAAAATGATGAAAATGTAGCTGCGGCCTAGGCGGCGCAGGGGGGGCGCGCACCAGGGGGCCCAACAATAATTATTCTTTAGAATAAATAATGTTCAACAACAACAACAACAACAACAACAACAACAACAACAACAACAACAACAACAGAAACAACAACAACAACAACAACAACAACAACAACAATCATTTTACCCGAACGCGTGGTGTTCTCCCCAGTGCCAGGGTTTTCATACGACACCAGGCAATACCCCCACTTCGTGGGGGGGCATTACAAGCTCTACCAAATATCCAAACGACTCTTCGCGACCACCCAAACCCAGCTTCCCGCCCTATGACGTTGGGACACTTCACTTCGTGGCGTGCGGACGACCGTGGCTACTACACTGGCGTGGGGTACACACCCACAGAACTTG